ATAAGAAAGATGTTCCAGTCCCCTAATCATCTTTGTAGCTCTTTGCTGTACTCTCTCCAGTAGTTCCCTGTTGTTCTTGAACTGGGGAGCCCAGAACTAGACACAATACTCCAGATGCGGCCACATCCGGGCAGAGTAGAGGGGAAGGATGACCTCCCTTGACCTGCTGGCCACACTCTTCTTGATGCACCTCAGGATGCCATTGGCCTGGGTCTTCTGGCAAGTATGTGATCCTTGCACCTTCTTTCAGTAATTGAAAATGTTAAATCCCTGGTTTTGAATGAATGGGGAAAGAATGTCTTTTTGGTTTACTTGCCAAGTTGGAAGCTGTCAGTACCACTCTTAGTGTTGCATTTGTCAATTTTTTCTTTAAAATGTTTGTATTATTGTTTCTAAAATGTTAGTATAAACATCCCATTTGTAGGTGGCTGGGTCTGTTTACTGATGAACTTGTGATTGAAGAAGATCAGATCGAATCCAGCAAGTATTGACTAATTCTGCAGAGAAATGATGCAAGAGTCAATAGAAGAGTGGATTCCTCTAGTTTGGGTTGAGTCCTTGTCAGTTTGTGTTGCTGGGTTTTTTTTCATGGCTGGGTTCAGCCGGGATTAATGTTCATCAGTACCTGTCAGTGTATTTCCTGCTCCTGTCAGCTTTCCCTCTGCACACCTCTTGTGTGTGGAGTGTCCCAGAGCCTCTTTTCAGTGTTCAGTTAATCATTAGGGTCGGGGCTTCTCCTGATGCTTTGATCAGTGCTTACACATATAGCGGTTTCTTTCAGCAGTGACAAATCATTTGCTCACCACATAAGGACAGAGTAAAAAGGCAAAAACCCTAAAAACCTGCTTCCAAAGCTGACTTACCAAGGAGTTGTTTGAATCAAGTAATGTCTCCTCCCTCCCTCCTTCCCCACCTTTGCTGCCCCGCAAAAAAACCCCACCCAAACCACCAAACAAAACACAAATAGACACCCCACTCTGCGCCCCCCCCCCCAAAGTAATCAAAGTAGATGTAGTCCTCAAAATGGCATTGCAGGACCTGAGGCAAAACAAAGACAAAACTTAGTAGTCCTGGGGTGATTAGCAAAGTGATAGGCGTTGGGTTTTCAGGGCCTTGGTTACTCTATGTTGACCGTCTGGGCTTGAGAGATTTTCTCATTAGCTTTTGTATGTTTCCAAATGACAATGAAACGATCCAAGCAGTAGATTTCTGAAGGAAGATTGCAGTTCATGGGTAGTTAAAGTCACTGTTCATCAGTAGTGTGATTTAATACTGATCAGACTGTTTTATATCTAGGATGTGCTTTGTGTTATGTCAGCGATTCATTATTTGTTTCCTGATGGCTGTCTGCCATGTAATACATAATCTCTGTAAAACCTTGTAGCGTTAGCAGTTTTTTGAGATTTGGGTAAGAAAGACCTAATTAACGCCTTATCTCTTCTTGCACCCTCTCTGCTGATGCTTTTCTGATGCTTTTTTTGTTGCTTGTGGTGCCTGTTGTTCTGTGCTGTTCTCTGGTCTTCAAAGAGCTAATGCATAGTAAGAGCTGATTTATTCTGTGGCAGGAAGCATAAGCTCTTTGAAGAATATATTCAGTTGCACAGCTGTTCAAAATAACCACCACTTGAAGGTTCATCTTTTGTCTGATCAAATAAATTCTGTAAAATATCACAAAATTTTCCATAATATGAGTTGCTTTTCTGATACTTATTACTGTCCTTGGGCTGTAGGGCAGCAGTGCCGCTTTGCTTTCAAAAGCTTCTTGCACAGACTGTGTTGCAGAGAAACTCACGTAATATACAAATGTTGAGGTCTGTGTGTGATAGTTGTGTTGCTGAAGTTGATCAGAGCCACAAAGCATATCAAAAAGGAAGATTCAGAGTCTGAGTAGCTCTGAGGTATTACTTCATAAGTAGCTCCTTTCCTCACTGGACTACAAAAAATAATATTTGAAGCCTTGTCTATTTTCTTAATATCATAAACCTAAAAATCTTGGGGAAAATGGGGGAGCTGGTTTAAAATGCACATATCAATAATGAAACATGAACTCATGGTAAGCTGCTTGATGTTGAAACTCAGTACAACTGTCATATTGGCAGAAAATGCGCCACAGATAGAAGTAAGATTGAAGAGTTGTATCATGCAATGTTTCTTAAAAGACATCTCAGTTAACACTTAGCAGACGTTAGCGAAAGTTTTAAGGGTTGGCTCCTGTTGTGAATATGTGCCCCTGACCACACTAATGTAATTGCTGAGACAAGGAAGCAGGCCTTTTAGAAGACAGAGAGTAATTGGGGGAAAATGGCCAAATCTTTCCTGTGAGTCCATTTCTCCAGTGGAATTTTTGTTGGTCTTGCAGCTCCATGTCGAGTTCTGACCCAAAGGGTGGCAGAAGCCCGCAGCAGAGTAGATGAAGTTGTGCTTTCACAGCCTGTCTTTCTTCCAGGCTGTTATCTAGAGCTTTAGTGGGACTCATGAGCATCTGGTTGTTGGTTTTGGCTACTGAAAGAAGGAAGAACTGAGAGTGTGGCCATAACCTGTTTGAACTGATATGCTCTGTTTAGTGAAGGAGACCATATTTTTGCTAACTGATGTTTCTGAGTCTTCCTGGAGAACGTGTTTAAGCACAGTAAATTATTGAAATCTGCTATGGACTGCATAGACAGGTCCACTTCATGTGGAGCCAGTGTTTTAGTTGAGGAGTTTGAGTTGAGCAATGTCCTTCAAGAAGTTGCCATCCCACTCACTGTATCCCCATGCTTCCTTCTATTTGTGGCATTGCACTCAAAATGTTTTGATAGAATATCTTAGCACAGCAAATACTGAAAGGTGAAAATAGTGAAATCTGGATTTGGGGAGGGGGGGAGGGGGAGGACCCCAAATACCTGGGTATTGCCATGATTCAGTTAGCAAAGTTAGACCAAAACATCCTGCCCCAAATTTTTAGGAAGAAAAATCTAAAGTTGAGGTTAGAGGATGGTATTTAGGCGCTTGATACACTTTTGAGGATGAAGGAGTGTCTAATCTTGACTTTAGCCTCCAAACAAACAACAAAAAACCCCTCGTTGTTTTTCTTGTCAACTGCAAATATTTGTTAAACAGCTGTTAAAGTGAATTTTTTGTAATCGGAGAAGAAGCATATACTTGAAGTACTTAATAGCTGCTTGTTAGCACTTCATCTCCATTTGAGAAAAGTCAGGAGCACAACTTTAAGGTTATCTCTAGTGTGGGTGTAGGCAAGTAAATAACACCTCGTGGAACACCTTTGATTTCAGAAGTTCTGAGTGCTTGACACATACACAGAGTTTCCTCTTCTGATGTCCTCTGGTTTTCTGTGGCCACTACTTCAGAAAAAGACTGAAAGTAAATGGCAGGAAATAAAGTGAAACCATACAATCTCATCTTTTTTGAAGTAATAAGGTTTTAATGAATGATTTTTTTTAAATTTTTTTTTTTTAGTTTGTGGGGTTTTTTTTAGCTGAATGTGCTGCATAGTCCTCACCTTCATGAATTGGGAGGTAATTAGGGGATTTGTAATATCCCACTGATTTGATCACAACTTCTGCTCGTGACATTTTATAATGAGTATATAGCTTATAAATAACATTTTGAAGGTATAAGGTTATACAGAGATAATTGCACAGCTGAAATGCATTGGCACAAGGCCAAAGGCTAAGCACTTTCCACCATCCCTTCTAAATTAAATAACTTCACTTTATGAAGTGTATCATCAGAAATTGTTTTCATTACTCCCAGAGGGCAAATTAAGGTTAATAAAAATCCGATCCCAGATTACCCTTATGTGTGAATATTTGTATTTTTAGAACCTTTCTTTGTCAATTATATTCCTCACAGAATGTGTATATGCAAATACAAGCACGTAGGTCATAGCTTCAGCTCATCTGTTTCTACAGTTTTGAACTGTTTTGCCTCTCTGAGACAGACTTCCTCTAAACATGATTGTGAGACCCAGCAGGATTTTTCAAATTGAGCAAAACTAAATGCACTCCTTCCACTAAGCAGTTGTTTCTCACGTCCCCTGAATCCCACCATCCTGGATTCCACTTGACCCACATAGCAGCCATTTCACTTGTCTGCTTCCATCCTCAAAAATGATATTTGTATATCCTCTTCTTTCAATGTTATGTTAAATAGCACGTTCTTCATACAAGGCAACCCAGTATTTCGTGGATTCTTAGGCGATCTGAGAAATGCTTTAGTAAATGTGAATTAGGGGGGGAGGTTTTTCCATTTTCTCCTGTGATAACTTTGTTATATATATGATCTGAAATAACACACACATGTTGGAGTCACCTCTTTTAGTACTCCGCTTTTACAACGTTAGGTTAGAGTCTTATTACAAGTGCCTCCTTTTCACTCTGCTCCTCCATGCCCTCCTTCTCTCCCACTTCCCAAAAAGAGGACTTCTGCTGTTTTGGTAAGACTGTTTCTGACTTTTAGAGTAAGAAAGAACATTGTGTCTAAAGAACAGTGTAAGAATGGGCCTAGTGTGCAGGAATATTTACCCAGGCTAATCTTTCAGCCTCTATCACTGTGTGGTTCAGGGACTCACTTTTTCAAAGATGGTGTCTTTATGACTTGGTGGATTTTTTTCGTCTATGAATTTATCAGTTTTTAAAAATCTATGCACTCTTATAGCACCAAAAATAGCTTTTGGCAGAATTATCCTATTGCTTACGTTTTGGTGTCTTTTTTAAAATAAAGGGGTTTTTTTCCACCCCAAAAATTAAATTAAGGAATGAATAAATTGCTTTTGTTGATCTTAAGATGAAATGAAAAGCTTTCACACCTGCTAGTTAATATCCTCAGTCTATTTCAGTCCCAATACTGAGAACAAAGCATTAGGAAATCCAAAGAGAAGGCATAATTGGGAATGTTTGGAGGAAAAATAAATAATGTTACTAAGCCCGTTACACAAATGTTGCATATTTTTTCTTACATGTTGGATGAAGCAGTGTTTATACAATTTTTCTCTACAGGTCATTGACATGCCAGAACACAATCCTGGAGATATGGGTGGAACAATGAGACTGGGGAAGAGGAGGACTGTTTTCAAAACACAAAATTCTCTTTTAAGTAAGTTACATTTCTGTTCTTACGACTTGCCTTTTGGATAGGAACTCTGTAACATGGCAGAGCAAAAATGCCAAAGTACATTATGTTAAAGAACTACAATCTCAAATAAGCAACTGGGTGACAACTTACTCGAGCTCATGATCCTGTTCCTATGTACATTTATCCAGGATCCGAATGTAAAGAAAGAAATGAGACACATCTGGAAGCCCCAGTGAAAAGGTCAGTTAGGGTCCAACACTTAAATAAACAATGAGGATACTGTTGAGATAACCGAAATGCATTTTATGGTAGTTTATTTCATTATTTCTTGAGAAGATCAGAGCATTTTCTTCTGATGTTATTTATAAGTTGATAGGGTGTGTGAACCAGGGCTTCTTGTTCTATCCTTGAAGCTTTTTGGTAGAACCAGCCCAAGCTCCTACCCATTATGCTCTCGCCAGACCTACACATTGCTTGTCATTCTCTAGAGTTGCCAGTACATCTCAGCCTTAAACATCATCTGGCCTCACTGTAGTTGTCAGCTTCTCTTGACAGCGTTTGCTAGTTTGTAGCCTAATTATAGCCAGGTCCAGCTCAACTCCATTCTCTGATCCAGCACTGCCCTAGGCTTAGCCCAGCCCTGGAAACTGTCTTGTTTTGGGCAAGCAAATTATTTGTTGTAGGAAAGGAAAATTATTTGCTGTAAAAGGCAAAATAAAAGCAACCAGAATATAGAACAAATGATTCAGTTTGATCTATATGTATTTTAAAATTGAGGTAATACTTGTCTCCTGTTAATCAGCCTATTATACAGTAGTAATATATGTGACAATGAAAATGTGTAAAAAGTGGTTTCTTGTCCACTGATAAATATGGGAATATTTCTTATATTGCTCTGTCCTTGACATTGATCTGAGCTATTACTGTATTTAGCTATGTTGAATTTCTGGAATGTATCCTTCCGAGCTTTTAAAAATGACAGCTACTTCATCAGGAGACCGAAGTGTAATGCATATGCCAGTTTAATGAAAAAACTGCCTTTCTAGAGAATGTCTGTGATCTGGCTGATCTGCGTGATATTTTGCCTAGGTGTGATACAGATATGCATGTCACAAGGTACAAGTTGTTCTGTGGCCTAAACACATCATGGAAAAGTTAATGAAAGTTAGCATATATTGTAACTCTTGACCAGTATTATGAGTTGTTTAGATGACCATATTTATCAAAGACTCATAGACAGCTTTGGTAGTTCACTCAAGAAATCTGATTCCTCTTCCTAATGCCTTACAACTTGAATGGAAATAATGGTTTTGAAAAGGCAGTTCTTTTGCTTGCCACTTTTTGTAAAATTGCAGAACTATCACACTACAATTTTGGAGATCTTGGCAGTCTAGTTCTTGTACCAACGCCTAAGCGAAATAGTAATCCTAATAAGTCTAGGATAAATTGAGAGCAAAGTTTGAGCTGTGATGTTAAGTGAGAGGTATTAAATTCTGGTTTACTGCATACTTCTAACCTACTCCTTGTTGCTCTGCAATGTACAGTGTTCCAGATGAGGCTCAGAGGATTGCAAGAGTCATTTGGGTAATGAGATCAGGAAAGCAGAGAGAATGTTTGTCATTGGAGGTATTATGCCAGCTGCCATGCATGATCTATTAAAATGGAACAGATGCTACTAAAAGGCTTCCTTCACTGCACCTTTTGCATACAACTGTTGTAAAACCCTGAAGGGATTTTATGTTGCTTGTTCACTCAGACATTTTTTATTTTAATTTGGGCTTTACAATTTAAATTAGTTTAAGCATGGCATTCAGACTCTAGTCTACCTAAGCTATTTCTGGTCAAGGAATGTTGAATATGAATCCTGAATAAACTCAGGTAACAGTACATTAAAAGAAACTAGTCATCCATCTGAAAAACAGAAAGCTGGAGTGAGATGAATAGTGTCCTGTTGTGTTTTACACATGACATGTTTTTGAGGTTTAAATTACAAAAAATAGTTGTAACAACTATTATACCAATACGTTAGCATTACTTTCTTTTTTGTTGTGTATTCAGGGAAACTTTATGGTGACGAAATGTTTGTAGAGGAGCGACACAGGCATCGATATGAGGTAAGCGCTACTAATGTACTTTGTGCTCAAAAGTTAAAGCTTAAGTCAATTGTGTTTCTCTTGGTAGGTATAATTCTTCTTAAAGCCAATGGGAGATTGCTTACATAAACATAACCCAAAATTTAGTAATGGTTAGATAGTATAATTTAGATCGAGAGGAACCTCTGTAAGTCTTCTGGTCCAACTCCCTGTTTGGAGCTGAGCAAATTTCAAAATTAAATCAGGCTGCTCAGGATTTTGTCCCATCTAGATTTGAATCTCTTTGGAGAGATTCCACAACATCTTTTGACTATCTGTTCCAATGCTTAACTACATCATTGTGAGCCCTTTTTCCCCTTTATATCTAATAGGAGATTTCCTTGGGCAATTTGTCTTTTATCTCTGTCTTGTGCTGTGTGTCTCTGAACAGAGTCTTGTTTATACCGTCCTATTAGACAGTTGAGGTCAGCAACGAGATCCACACTTTGCCTTGTCTTCTCCAGGCTGAACAAATCCAGCTCATCCAGTCTCTCCTCCTATGTTGCGTGTGGTCCACCCCCCTTAAGCATCCTGGATGGACCTCCTATGGACTCACAACATTTTGTCAATCTCTTTCTTGTACTGAGGGACCTGAAACCAGACACAGTATCACAGAGTTGTTCTTGCAAGTGTTCATTGGGGAGGAATAATGTGGTGTACTGTTTCTGTGGTAAAGATGGTGCAGTGTCTTAGTGAAATGGTCTTGGAAAGTGATGTCAGAGATTACCTGCCTTGACTTCCTGTGAAGTATTTGAAAAGTAAAGGCTTATAATCCTTAAAGGCATTGCTTCTTGGCCGATTTGGCTTATTTAAAGGCTTAGACTATGTTCAGGTAGAGCACATTCTTTCATAGTCTAAATGTAGGCAGACTTCAGGCATCTACAACTCAGAGTCTAATTCAGATCACTTGCTTCCTACCATCCAACTCTGTAGGCCTCTTGTATAGGTCCACTTCTCTATTTGAGAACATCTGAGCAAAGGTGTCTGTGTGCATTCAAAATACTGTCATTCAAGGAGACAGGCAAGAGCTGGACTCCTAGAGTTGTCTCTGAGATAGTTCAGAAGGCACCTGACTCCGTTAATACCTCCAGAGGGGCCTGAGCTATAAGATGTGTGTATGCTATAAACGGATTCAGACAATGTTAAATTTCCTTAAAAAGCTGGGAGGAGAATGTGATGGTGGTAAAGGTGCTCAGAGTTTGAATATTAACTGAGTGGTTAGAACATCACCAGGGAAATGAAACAGCTCACTGCAGAGCTCCTCAGTTTGAAGAAGGAGCTGAACCACAGTGTGTGTCATAACTGCTGAAAAGCAGTGTTCAAATAGGAGATCAGTCTTTGTGTCTACTGTAGTGGGCTTTTGAAAAACGAGGAAAGCTGCTCAGAATCAGGAGGACAGCAAGCAGAAGGGACCCTGGCTTTAATCTTTTGGATGTTATGTAGTAAGTTTTAAAATTACTGATTAATCTCTTATTAAATGAGCATCCCCATTTTTGCAATTTTTACCAGAGTTGTTGAAACAAGAAAGCAAAAGTTCCCAACACTTTTCTCAATTCTTTTCATTCTTGTATGTATACTAAAAGCATTACAATTAACTGCTACTGTTTGTTAAGTCAAAAAAATAAATAGAACTACAATTATTATTACTTTCAATATTTCAGGTGAACCCAGAATTGACTCACTGCTTTGAAGAGAAAGGTTTGAAATTTGTTGGCCATGATACGGAAGGGAACAGAATGGAAATTATTGAACTGGAAAGTGAGTGTCTTGCTTGTCTGTAGTACTTTCCACATCTATTAAAACCATGTAAACTATAGGTTGTTAAATTCTATGTAGGCACAATGTTTAGGTGTCATAACAGCCAAGATCCTGTTGGGGAATACTGCTGACTTCACCTGTGTATTACAACGGGTGAAGATTTAGAGGACATCAGGAGAAGTCTTACACTTCTCAAGGATTGTGTGTGTGTTTGATTATCAGGGAGAGACATGCTCCTTTTCCAAAAGGTCGTAATTCTAGCTCAGTGGGATTTGGCTATGTAGAATCATAGAGTGGTTTGAGAGGTCATCTAGTCCAACCCTGTGCTGAAGCACAGGGCTACCTTCAAATATAGATCAGGTTGTTGAGAGCCATACCAGACAAGTTTTCAGTATCTCCAAGTATCCTATTGGTTGGACTTCAAACCACTCGCCACTCCTCTTTGAACCCAGCAGTCCAGCCATTTTTTAACAGTCTACCCATAGTCTGTATCTCCCAACTTGGATGCTAGGAAACCATATCAAAAGCCTTGCTAAAGTCAGGGTAAAGGAAGGTTACTGCTTTCCCTGCATCCAAAGACTGATTGTTCCCAAGCTTGTTGTGCCCAGTTGTCTTCTTGTCCTTCATGTGTCTGGAAATGCCTTGGAGGAGGATTTGTTTCATAATCTTGCCATAATCGGAGGTTAGGCTGACTGTCCTGTAGTTCCTTGGATCTTTCTTGAAGAAGGGCATGGTGACTGCCTTTTTCCAGTCATCAGGGACCTCTCATGATTGCCTTGGCCTTTTAAAGATAATAGCCAGCTTCACGATGACGTTGGCCTGCTCCCTAAGCATCCTCAAATATTTTCAGTCAGGTCCCAGTAACTAATATACATTCAGTTTGCTTGCATATATGAAATATGTATACATGCAATATAGCCAAAGTATAAAACACTGGAATATATTATCTAAAGAGGCTGTGAAATCTCCATCCTTGCTGATAGCGACCTTCAAAACTTGAGTAGATAAAACTGTCAACAACCCGATTTAACTTTGAACTTCACTCTGCTTTGAGCAGGAGTCAGCACTAGAGACCTTCCAAGACGCCTTCCAATCAGTTTGTGTCTCCTAGTTACCCTCTGTTTAGAATTGGAGAAAAAAGTGTGAAAATCAAATAGAAAGCAAGCTCCTTTCTTTCACAGAAGTGATTCAGGTAAATGAGGGCTTGATACTGTGGAAATCTGGTAGATTTGGACTACTTTAGCAAGTAAGACTTAATGTCTTTTCTAAAAGGTTCTGAAATAGAAAGGAGCTACACCACGTATGTTTGTTGAATGCTACACAGAACAGCTCTTGGAAAAAATCCCTTTGATTTTGCTTGATTCTTTGATTAACTCCTTGCTGTTAAGTCACTGTTGGCTAGATAAGTATCAGGCACCTGAAGATGCAGGCTACCTTACAAGACTTTTCTTGTGTACTTACATGGCCCCTAATTGCCATTGGTTAAGATAAACTCCGTGCACAGAAACGGAAATTTATCATAAGAATACATTGTCGTCCTATGGAGTGCTATTTGTGACATGATGGCTCCCGAGAATTCATTTTATGCTCCATGGTATGTTGAGGAACAGTGCTGTAATTTTGAACCAGGGTTTATAAATAGGTGTCTATATTCAATTCAAGCAACTGCACCATAGAGAGTAATCTAAGAGCAAAGGATACATGTGAATTCATAAACTACTAATTGTCATGGTGTTCTTTGCTTAGTTTGTTCCTGATAAAATACCTCAGTTATGTATGCTGGTGTTGGGAGGCTGTTTTGTCTGCCCTGCATGAAATTACTATAGAAAGCATTGTGAAATAAATCAGGCAGGATTTTTAAATTGCACGTTACTGTGAAAAGAGTAAAAGCAGCGGTAAAACCTGGAATTACTTCAGAATGGGCTGCAAGGAGACTCTGATTACTAAAGAAAAACAATCACCATAGGGAGGAGAGTGGGTTGGAGCGGAAGCACAGAAATAACAGTACACCAGATAGCTTGGGCAAAACTTTTAAGCAAAATATCCCCACCAAAAATATTTGATGCTTTGCCATTGTCTTGTTTTACAGCTTTAAGGAACTAAATTGCGTGGTAGAGAGAAAGAAGTTATGGGATTAATTTAAGATCCAGGTTCTCTTTAAGGTATAGCAGCAGAGACAAGAGCAGTATACTAGATCATGTAGTTTATCTTCATAGAAGAAAACCCCAGCTTTCTTGTTATCACTTAGTATGTACTGCAGAGAAATTCCTTGAATGTTTGGGATTGTTTTGGAAATTGTCAAACCAGAAGAGATCTGTGGTTAGTTTTGTCCCCTGTCCTGGCACTAGAAGTTGTTAATGTTATCTCCTTTAAAACAATATTCAAAGAAGGAACAGGTGTACAGCATGGAAGAGTACAAAATCATTGTTCCTTCCTTATCCTTTCAAAGAAGGCAGAAGGGAAGCAGAAGCAGTAGTAAAGAGGTGCTTTGATTGGGAAACAGAGTGCTAGAGACTTAAGAAAAGATGAAGCAGTGTGGCTTGTTTAGCTTAGCAGATGGAATTGATTGATGGTGATACAGGCTGGAGAGGTGGGCCCAAGCCAACCTCATGCAGTTCAACAAGGCCAAGTACAAGGTTCTACATCTGGGTCGGGGCAATCCCAAGCTCAAATACAGGCTCAGCAGGGAATGGCTGGAGAGCAGCCCTGAGGAGAAGGACCTGGGTGTGCTGATTGACCAGAAGCTCAGCATGAGCCAGCAATGTGCAACTGCAGCCCAGGACACCAAC